TAGTATTGGAATCAAATTGGTGATTATTTTTTACATTTTGTTAGAACATAGATCATTCTATTTAACGATTTTACAATCAGCATACATTCTTATACATATCCAGAAAAAAAGTGTCCCTAACAATAAAAAAATGTATAAGGCTGTTGTTTTAAGTAATTTTAATACTACTCTCAGGCCTTAAATTTTTGCCAATATGTTATAAAAAATGTCAGTTTATTATTATAACGAATTTTTTGACAATAATATTGCTAAATACTTTGTTATGCTTTTACATACAAATCAACTAAGATACAAATAGTAATGTTAACATTCTTCCAAATGGTAACTATATCAATAATTCCAAGTAATTAATAAAAAGTATATGAATTCATTTATATAAATATATTTGATACAAAACAATATACTTTTTTTCTTCCATACATTTCTACTTATGTATTTTAGCTATATGTTAGCTTTCCATACATTTTTTTTATGTATCTTCCGTTTTCTAAGATAATTTTCATATGATTAGAAGCTGCACGTTTTATTATTGATCATTATATTTATGATTTAATGGAAGAAACGTGTTGTTCTATATCGACAAAACTTGCAAAAAAGCAATAAAAGGAAGACAGTATTGCATTGGAATAAAGAGACTGCAGATCAAAGTATTTAATGATTGTATATAAGTAAATATGATTACACATTTTTAAAGAAATCTTCTTTATGATGATTTTGTATTACCTGTAGCATATAAGAAGTAATTGTAAAAAAAACTGATACCAATTTCATACTTCATATGATGAGTGAAGTACTATATTAAAGAACACTTTTATAATTATCTTCTATTATTGATTTACAAACAATTTTTCTTTTAAAATAACCTTAGTATGTTATTAGCAGAGACAAGTATTTGCTGTATTGCATATTAGAATTTAAGTTACTATTGTTATCTAAAATTGACACACATTGAATTCAACTTTTTCAGAAGTTATCTAGAAATATTGATCAAGTAAAATTTATTGCATTTATAAATTTCATAGCAAACATTGCATGACACACTGATTAAACTATGGAAATAGTATGTTATACATGTGGCAAATATGTAATGCTAACGTTCTAATGTAAAATTGCACTTTACATTATAACATGTACTGTTTCATTTATATCAATATAGTTATTATAGTAGAGGTTGTATTAAAGTATACTGAAAAGTGTTTGCAGAAAGTGTGGAATCAGAATATTTCACATTTTGTAGGTTTTAACACAATATGTATTGGTATCAATTTTTTACTGTTGTAAAACAGATACTAATTTATATAGAAATAACTGTAAGATTAAATTGTAGTTACTGATATGCTGCCAAATACAAGGTGATGCTTTTAACAAACATCTTTTTTATTATTATTAATTTTCATATGCTATATTTATAAATAAATTGCGTTTATTTTATTCAAAATATTACAATTAAAAATCATTATATTGAATAAGAGAAACATTGAAACATTCCTGCCAGTATATTGACTGAGACTTTTGTAAACGAAATATTTACTGTTACAACTTATTACTAAATTTATTTAGA